GTACACTCAAAAATGTACATCAATGTACGTCCTTATTTGGGTACGGTTTTCGGGGTACGGTTCTGGGGTACGGTTTTGGGGTACGGTTTTCGGGGTACGGTTTTCGGGTACACTCGCACAGTCCCGACCCTACGAAAAGATACCAACTTATAAAGTTTTGAGGTACGGCTTTGGGATACGGTGTGGTACAGTGGTAAGGTTTTGTGGTATGGTGTGGTACGGTTGTATGGTTTTGGGGTGCGGTTTGGTACAATGGTAGGGTACGGTGGTACGGTTTTGGGGTATAGTCGGGTCGAATTGTTGGGGACAGATATAGCGCAGTTAGCATGGAGCGGCATTGATTCTTAGGATGTTTTTTGAGCATTCAACACCTTTGCTATGGTGTAGTTCACAAGACTGGGAATATGCAGGTACCATCAGGTACCCAAACGCAAAATAACACAAAGCCTCGTATGTATTAACATGTTTCAGACGCAAGGCAAATGCCTGGCGCAGAAATTCACCCAATAAAGCAATAAGGACACGAACGCACATACACACATACAACTATACATATATACATACATACATACATATATATATATATATAAATAATTATATATATATATATATCAATATATATATATATATCAATATATGGAATAGCAACACATGAAACGCAAGTGAAGCACATCAAATGCAAAGTGGGGGGCAAATTGAGCAATCTAGGGATTGTGTGAAAACACACATGGATAACAGCTCAGCCAAATGAAGTGTGCAGATGTGTGCAGCACAAAAGGGTAGACTGTTAATATTGAGACACACTCTAGATGCAAGGCACTGTATGTTATTTTTTGTTGGACACATATACTAAATACATGATATTAGTATATATTAGCGCATTTCTTCATGCAGGGACGCATGTATGTGATACTGGTGCTATATAGGCATCTAGACTGTACACAAAAAGCATTCAGACTTCAAGTTCATGAGGGGAGATTGCATCGACAAGCGGACTGAATCGTCTAAGGCTGTGTGTGTGAGGGGTTTTGACACTGTAGTATGTGATGGTAGTGGTAGTGGCCCTGGTGGTTCACCACTTGAAATAAAATATTTTCGATAGGTCACGGGGTCATGATCAAAGATGACTTCTGGATTGGTAAATGTTGGGCCCCATGCCGTTTCGTGCAACTTATGCGGACGCGCACACTACTACTTTTTCTAGTATACAGTATGCCCAAGGTGGAAATCAGTAGCCCTAAACAAATGCCTCTGATCCCTCAAACAAAATGAGTTTATCATGTTTATCTTTGTGTTTTCTTTTGGTTTTCAGAGCTAAAGCAGATTGGATCCGCGACCACAAACGCAAAGGGGCCACATCAGTTGTTTTTTTTTGGTGTTTGTTTGTCATGTGTTTTGCATTTCTACTTGAGTTTGCTTGCGCGTTTGTTTGTTTTTTCTACTTTTGTGTAGTTGTGAATATTACTGACATACAAGATACAAAACTTGTCACAAACCTCGACCTGGTTTGTATGGCCCACGGGTGAGCTGCGTCCATGTACGTCTGGCTACAGTAACAAATCCATGTCCTCTATGGCCCCCTCTATGGTCCTTGCTTGCGTGTGAGTGCATTTGCTGCATTTTTCTTGTCGAATCGTGGGTCTGCTTGTGAGTTCGTTGATGTGGTCACTTGTGTGTCATTTAACCAGAAATTGCAATTCCAAACTCCGAATATAATATGTGAAACTAAATACTCGAGAATTTCCAATATGCAAGAGCTACACAACAAATTGCTAATCGCACAGACTGTTTAGAATCCTGGTGCCATGCATGCCGTCCCGTGCATGCCACTTGCTGTGCACTTGATGGCGTGCGTCCGTTTTTGTCATGTTCAATTCGTTTCATTTCATTTGATTTCGTTTAGTGTTCTTTTATTTCCTTTCATGTCCTTTATTTGTTTCGCATGCTTCCCAACAATGAATGGAAGAAATCCTGCACCAGCTTGGATGGTGGAAACCCTGTAAATAATGGGATAAAACAGTTATCAACTGGTGCAGGATGTTTTTTCCATCCACTGCAATCAATTTGATCAAACTTGTAGAGTATTATATTTGGTTTTCAGTGTCATCCATGTTCTCCATTTTCCTGTTGTTGTTCTGGTGTTTTGTTGTTGCCTTGGTAGTTTTATGTTCGATTGGTGCTTGGGGTTAGTTTTTATTGGGTTAGTTTTTATTGGGTTAGTTTTTTGTTTGTGTACGTTGGTGTTGGGTTTGCTTTTTGGTTTTGTTGTTTGTTGATGTTGATTTGCACTAAAGCATGCGGTTTTCTTGTCATTGTTTGTGTGAGTTTCTACACAGGCCTCAAAGGCCATCAGGGTAGCCCATTGAGCAAAACCAGTGAATCTAAATAAGATAAGATACATGATGTTCTGGCGAGATGTGCTGTCGTATCCTGAAATCCTCACAACATAAAAATGATTTACAGCAGCGCTTATTTTGTGAGTCTAATAGTTTCCTCCGCCGGACACAGATTCGGTTTTTAGGGTTTAGAGCAAGAACTACTATTTCAGCAATGACAATAAGGTGTCTATGGTTGATGATCATGTTCAGTTAAAAGTCTACAATCATCAAGTTCTGCCGTGGTATACACCACCTTTTACATCTCAATGAGTACCACCTTACCATCATTTAACCGTACCACTTCCATCGTACCACCGTACCGCACCAACATACCATCGCACCAACACACTGCACCACCGTACCGTACCACCGCACCACCGTACCGTACCACCGTACCGTACCACATACCATCGTACCAACACACCGCACCACCGTACCGTACCACCGTACCGTACCATCATATCATCGTACCAACACACTGCACCACCGTACCGTACCACCTCACCACCGTACCGTACCACCGACCGTACCATATATCATCGTACCAACACACCGTACGTACCTTACATTGCCTATACAGCCTGAAAGTCGTTTACACCTACTTTGGCAATTCATAAGATAGATTAGATAGATTAGATAGATAGATAGATAGATCGATCGATAGATAGATAGATAGAAAGATAGATAGATAGATAGATAGGTAATTAGATGAAAGAGCGCGCGCGAGAGAGAGAGAGAGAGATAGATCGATAGATAAGAGAAAGAGAGGAGACCTCAACCACCTTTCGGGTCCATCAGTGGCTTCGCTCTGCCATCCCTGATTCACAACAACCACCCTCTCCTATAGGTTTCCTATTTTTGAAACTTCCGCCACCGCCTTGTGTGCTCCCCAAAACAAAGCCCATGCAACATTCATGCAGCCATTACAATGCATTTTGCAGCATCACGTGGCAAACCTGCATCTCTCTACACACATGGCAACAACAGAAGACAACAATCATGCAGCCATTCCAATGCGATCTGCAACCACAGATTCAAGAAACGCATAGAACTACGCACACAGGAACAACCATTCGTTGCAGAACACAGAGGAGGAACCCATTACGCTCGGAACGGCCCCAGCCGCAACCGCCGCACACACGAGGTACCTTTCATCGCCGGCTGCAACCGCTTTACACGGAAAAATACAAGGTTTCGTGCTCCGGCTTCCTCCCCAACACAAGCCCCATGCAACATTCATGCAGCCATTACAATGCATTTTGCAGCATGACGGTGCTAACCCGAATGTATCTACGCACATGGCAACGCCAGATTACAACAATCATATAGCCATTACACGGGGGTATTGTTATGTGATGTCAAGTCTCACACCACAGTCCCACACCGCCCTTCATTGAATGTATTGTTATGTGATGTCAAGTCTCACACCACAGTCCCACACCGCCCTTCATTGAATGTATTGCTATGTGATGTCAAGTCTCACACCACAGTCTCACACCGCCCTTCATTGAATGTATTGCTATGTGATGTCAAGTCTCACACCACAGTCCCACACCGCCCTTCATTGAATGTATTGTTATGTGATGTCAAGTCTCACACCACAGTCCCACACCGCCCTTCATTGAATGTATTGCTATGTGATGTCAAGTCTCACACCACAGTCTCACACCGCCCTTCATTGAGTGTATTCTTATGTGATGTCAAGTCTCACACCATCCTTCATTGAGCGTATTGTTACAGGCGTAACTCGGAAGATTGCTTCCCAACTTCCTTTGATCAAATCCATATACAAACCAATTACAAAACCATAAAAAACCAACACAGAACAAAAAAAACCATAAAGAAACCCACATAATCCTATATGAAAACCATAAAAAACCACATAAACCCATATAAAACAATAAAAACAAACATAAAGCCCACATAAAACCATATAAGAAACAGATAAAACCTCGCATAAAGCGAGAAAAACACTATTAAAAACCAAGATAAAAACCAACATAAAACCATATAAAAAGCATAAAAAACACAAATAAAAACCATATTAAAAACCCGTATAAAACCATAGAAAGCCACGTAAAACCAAAAAACAAACATAAAACCCACATAAAACCATATAAAAACAAGATAAACACCAATATAAAAACTATAGAAAAACACTATAAAAACAATAAAAAAACAAACATAAAAACCAAAAAACAATAAACAAACCAAACGATATAAACCAACATAAAACCACATAAAAACAAAAAAACAATATAAAAACCTCATAAAACCATAAAAAACCAACATAAAAACACAAAAACCATATAAAAACCAACAAAAAACAATGTAAAACAACAGAAAACCAATAAACAAACAAACATAAAACCCACATAAAACCATATAAAAACAAGATAAACACCCACATAAAAACCAACACACTATAAAAACAATAAAACATCCACATAAAACCATATAAAAACCAAACCATATAAACCAACACAAAACCATATAAAAACCATATAAACACCCACATGCAACCATATAAAACCATATAAAAAACCATATAGACAAAAAGCCTACGCCATCTCGAGCTCGCCCAGCTCGCCCAAAGCTCGGTTCCGCAGCCGATCGGAGCACGTGGTCTCATCGTCTCGAAAGACTCCAAAGAGCTCACAGGCATAGGGATATTGGATGCTGTTCAAGTACCTGGCTGAGAAAAAAACTGGAAAGCTGATCTGATGATTGCTGGAGAAATATCCCGGTTTTGCTGGAGTTTCATGAAAGCTGATCTGATGAAAGCTGGAGTTTGCTAGAAAATGATTTTGCTGATGATTTTTTGTTGAGATACTGAAGAGCTGAGAAACATAAGATGAGAAAATAGCAGTCTTATCACTATTGAAATATCACATCTTATTAATTCCAATGATAAGAAATCCATGGCCATCATGGCTCTTCATCAAGTATCATGACATATGGAGATGGGTCAACATATGTCAAAACCCATAACTACCACATTTAAGGGAGAAACTGGGAAAACCATCTATTCATCAGCTATCTCAGGGTGTCCCAAGGTTTGTCCCGCCTGACTAAGCCGATGTCTACCCAAGGCCTTTCTGACGCGGTTGGATACCTGGCGCGTGGCATTACCCCGGTAGTCAATGTCTCAACGTCAGGATGTCAATATCTGTTGGAAGTCTGTTGGATGTGATTGGTGCTTCGGAGTTCGATGGATTTCAACGATTTCCCAGCGCTCGCCAGAGGTTGGCCATGCTGTCCGGACGCAAATCAAACAAAGGGCACTGCTCGTTGAATTCAATGGGGCCTTCTCGCACCCACCTGGAAATACAGCCCGCAGGCTACCGACATAAAAATTGATCCAATCTGATCCCGTGTCAAGCATGGCCTGACAGCTACAGCCACACACTCCAGTTCCTTTGGTTTACTGTTTTAACATTTTTGAACTGCGGATTTCTGACTTTTTTCAAAACCGTGCTTTGCGGCTTGAGACATGCCATGTCGATATGTCGATGTGTCGATATGTCGATGTGATTCGATGTCGTGACAGCCACTGACTGTTCGGAATCTCAGGCGCCTGGTCGGCATTCTTTTCACTGCAATCTTCTCACCGTTCTGCGATGCGGAAAGGAACAGCGCGATTTGAACTCCAGAGTTCATCATAGTTCATCAAGAATCCAAGAGCTAAGCCCAGACATTCACGTGCCCTGCTATGGTCATACTGATTAATTCTCATCCTTTACTGGCCCAAGTTGGCGAAGAAACGGGGAAACTTCGAGAACACTCTGCATGATGCTTTCAACCCTGCAAAACAGGACAGTCATTGGGGATCATGATCCCATTTTTACCACCCTACTAATTAATCTTGGTGATATACCATTATTGTCATCATTTAGGTGACAGGAAAAACCCCAGCTGTGTCCTTCTTCTGCATCAAGTCGACTGCCCCATGGTTGCGAACTGCTTCCTGGAAGCATGGCCTATGCAACATCTATGTTTTGGCTTCCCAATCCGAGTTACACTAGTTACACTTCAAACATTAAACAAGACTTCAACAACTAAACTTTCCATCAATTTCATTAATCTGGTCACCTCATGGCAACATATGGCAACATTCCAAACTACGACGACCGACCAGAACCTACCAGGACCGGACCTGCAGCAGGGTTTGCCCCACATACTCGCTGGGGTCCCAGGGCTGTGCCGCGTTGGCGACATTTTGAATGGCTTCCTGCGACGACGGCTATGAAAGTAGGACAAACGGGAAAACAACGTAGTAAACAAAGATGTTTCAAGATGTTTCAACTGTCACAAAAAGATGTCCGAATTTCAGACGAAGTCTCCTGCAGCACGTCTCTTGTTATGACCTCACCAAGAAATCGGGATCGATGGGAAACGAAGATCGATGATGTCACCGTTCTCTAAGCCAGGCACATGGCTGCTGTGGATCTCCTGGCAGCACCAAACCCATATTTTGTGAACTCAGAACTGCAAAAAAAACCCTTTGGTAAACATGGTCTCGAAAATCCGCCATTTAGGTTTGATCTTCCCTTTAAAACCTTCATTTGGTGAAATTTTCCAGCTCACCACCTTTGATTTCCTCATTTTTGGAGCCATTTTTTCAATGAGGCCATGACCGGTCGGTAAGCTTTGGTGAGGCTTTGTGATCCAGGTGGGGCAGTCTTCTCAGACTTAGTGATTTCACAGTTTCACTGCCAAAAAACCATCTAAGCCAAAGAACCCCATGAAACATGTGAAACATTGTGAAGCAGTTCATAAATCGTCAACCATTCAGCTGTCTGGAAATAGGAGATACCTTCTAACTAGCGATGTATTATGGGAAAAAATATTGGCCATCAGATTTGGGTTTTTACATGTTTTAACCGTAATTTTCCAGACAAATTCATGTGGAAAGTGGTGGTTGAAACCTGGTTTCACCGAGTTCCAAACAGGTCTCGGTGGTGGCCGGGGCTGGGCCGGTGCAGTCGTGGCTTTCCCCGTGGTGCTTTTCTTCCCTGGCAGTGTGGGATATCCTGGAGGAAGTTTCCATCTCCACATGACATCTGCAAAAATCTCGGAATCCAAATATGTTGATATCTGTAATTTCTCTCCAGATCTCATCAAAATTTGTCAATGAAACATCGGGATATCATGAATATCATGATGCTTGATGTTGGTAGCATCCGTGAAATTCACCACCTGATGTTTTTCATTCGGATGTTGACAAACATGGGGCCACCATGGCCATGGGTGGCCTCCGGGAAACATTCCGCTGAGGAATGATGGTAGCTTCGTCATGCTCGGCCTTGGCTCGACAAAGCCATGGGTACCATTGACCCATGGCAGCACAAAACGAAGAAAATAGAACAAAGAAACAACATGTTTGACAGACCTTCAACAACTAAGTCCCAACTGATATTTTGGCCGTTCAAAGAGTCCAAATTTCGATCATTTCTAAGAGCCAAAAGAAGTGGCTGCGGTTTTCCACGGATACTGCAAGTTCTTGCAACAAAAAACGCGTGGGATGAGCAAACAGCGGCCTAACACAACTAACAAAACACAATGGGTATGTCCAAAAATGGGGCCCCAAATCCACCGCAATCATCGTAATTATGTCATTTCCCCTTCATTTTTTCAAAAAGGTATGCCCCATTTTGAGACATGCCCGAGTTTTCTGGACTGAAACTCGGCCAAACTTTTTGCAACACTGAAGGCGCCTGTCTTCATCACCTGGTCGCAATGTGTTCCATGTGTGTCCATGCTACAAAGAACAAGACATGCATCAATGGCATCAACATGTGCAACGCCATGCAACGCTATGTTGCATTGTTTCCACTCAAAACACTTCCTGGGATCTATTGAGATTTGCGTTCAGCACCAGAAAAACATTGAGTTTCAGTCAGTAGCTTGTTTTCGACATCTTTGCGCTCGAGAATGGTTGAAACAAATGTGTAAATCCCACTGGGATCTTGTAAAACCGTTGCAACCGATAGTAAGCTTCGTGGAAAGCAAGGGAAGCTTCCAAGCAACCCTCCAACTGATCCTTGAAATTTTTGGATTCGCAGGGAACCCATGCAAATCACACTGATGACGTGCTGATATGGCCAGGTTTCGCTGGGCCAACTCAAAGGGTCTCTCAACGAAGTCAACGGCCAATTTCCCCAAAGAATCTGCCATCTGTTGAGCCTGTTGCTGAGTGAAATTGCCACTGACATCAAGTCTTGCCTCAATGGATCCATTCGATTCAAACGCGCGCAAGACGAGATCTGCCACGGGCAAAGGTGGAGGAATCATGTTTCTGGAACCCCACTCTGCAGAAGCCTGTGCCCAACCGCCAGAAGGCTCCCAATAGAGAATGGCTTGGAAACTCAGGTCGAACCCCCAGACTTTCAATGGAACAAGTGCATGTTTGTGCGCATCTCGAACAGTTTTTTCTACATCTTCCAACAACTGAGTCAGGTCAAAGGGCTTTGGCATATGGATGATGTAGGGTAGCAGGTGTGTCGGTCGGCCGTGGAACGGGCCACCAATGATGACTTCTTCTTGTCTGGTCCGGCAACACTGCCAGTAAGCAAACAATGCCAGAAGCTTCGAATGTTTTGCTGGGAACCCTTTTGGGAAAATGATTTCCACCGTGTGCTGACCATGGCTTTCCGGCATCGGCATGACAGGAAGGTGCAAGGAAGCAAACTGTTGAGACCAAAATGCACGATCCCTGTGCCCGCTTTCACTTGACAGGTGCTGACCGTGCATACACTGAACATACCTATGAAATTGGCCTGGGCTAGGTGGCAGCTTGAGGCATAGCGCATTCATAGCTGATTGGCCCGGGTTCAAGCACAATGGCCCATACTGGTTGTGGCCTGCATTGGTGGAACACTCCTGACCCAAAAGGGCACAAAGCTCTTTGTCCAAAGTGGCTACAGAAAGCCCATCACATGCCACGTGGTGAACCTTCACCACCAGCAAACATTTGGATTCTGCTGATTCGGCTTGACTGTCTGAACCAAAGGTCACCAAAAGCACCCGGATTGCGGGCGCGTTCTTGAGATCCAAGGGCTGCCATGCAAACTCCCTGGCAATTTGTTCAAGATCTTGTCCTTCCTGTCCTTCTTCAGGAACATCTCTTGTTTCCACCACGTCAAAGCGCTTTGGGCTCACCAATGGCATGTCGGAATTGAAAGTGCTGCGGAGAATCCAGTGCCGCTCCTGCAAAATCATCACGGCAGCTTTCAGCAACTCTTTGGGTACGGAACTGATCAGCCGCCACCACGACACAAAAAAACGTTCAAAGCGTCCTGCCAGAAAAGCTTCTTGGACAGGGGAAAGCCGTGGTTGCCGCAACATTGTGCGGGCCAATTCGCATTTCAATGCTTTCGCAAGTGGTACCACTGGTATCAGAGCAGCTTGAAAAAGTCCAAGCCGATCCTTCCCATCCTTCCAATCCTCCAATTCTTTAGGCTTTTGAATTGTCAGGCTGACCAAAGCACTGCCGCCGCTTGCTCCGCATCGCACAGGGCGACTCTTTGGACTGCGCTTCAATGGTGCTAGCTTCTCCAAAGTGAGTTGCGCCAGTAAAGAAGTTGCCAGTGAATTTCTGCAAGCAAGAGAACAATTCACACATAGACACATGGGTGAAGCAATGGGTGAAGCAACCTGAAAGCATACTTTGCGGTACCTGACGCGTTTCAAGGAAAGATCACTTCTGAACCAAGAAGTTGACACCTGCAAGAGCTGAATCGCTGAAATGCGGCGCCGCAAGTCGCTGGATCTATCGCCACAAATGTCACGTGGATGAAGAGCTGCCAAGGAAACATCGGTCCCGCAGCTAGGAGAACCTGGTGCTTGATGTCCGTGTTGATGGCGATGAGCCGGCTGGGATCGACAATTTTTCAACAGATCTCCAAGCCTTCCAGCAGCACACCACATCCAGTGAACTGATGTCAGACTTGTTTGACATCTGCACTCATGCACCAGGAAAGTGATCCGCAGCCGCTTCTGTTCAAAGCAAAGACCCACTTCCAAAGGAAAGGGAAAAGGTGGGGCAATCCCCGGCATCGCCTGCGCCACTCCCACCATTGGCCCCTTCGCCACGTTTCTTAGCGATTTCATGCTGCTGGGATGGCAGATTTGCACGTCGAACATCGGCACAACGCCAAGCTTCTCCCAGAATTTGGGCAGGGCTGGGCGTGAGCATCCTCTAGTTGTGCAAAGCAGCCGTGCTGCTATGGGATGGCGGCATCCCTCAAGAGGCCGGAGCACGGAGTAAATCATGCGTCGAACAATCCTCACAGAGAAGGTCAAGCTTAGTGTGCTTGGAGACCATCCCAGTGACGTGGCAAAGGACAGAGCAACGTGTTCATATGGCCAGTCGCAATGCTACTTTTCTGGGCTCCAAAGTTTCCCCAAAGTTTGATGGCATCCAAATTGTTGCAGCTGCATGAGCATGACTTGGACACTGACTTGGATACCGCCTTCAGCATGGGCCGAAGGCGAACGGGGGCTGCCTTGCAGGGCAGTTCGCCAAGAAACGTTGAAGGTGAATTGGGTCCAGCAAGGCCCTCTGCTGTGTTGGCGGGGGCAACATCACCACGTGGTTTGTCCAACCCACATGGTCCCCGTGGCAGACTCGACTTCTTGAAGAGATGAAGGAACCCTGCAGGATCAAAACGGGTGGCAGTTGTGATCAAGTGTGCCTTGGCTTGAACAACTGTCATGCAGGTCTGAAGCATGAAAATGCCACAAGCCAACTGAAGCACATGGAGCTCTGCAGTGCCAGAATGCACAGCAGCATTGCCCGGCATGTCAGCCATGGCATGACCCTTCACAACTCCAACGATACCAGCTGTCTGTCGAATAAACTTCTCATCCGCTGAAAGCAGAGGAAACACTCCGCTACTCTTGGCCGTGCTGGGTGGCATGCCTTGAGGAGACTGGATGACTTTGAAGATGCTGATCTGATTCGTCTTACATCGCTTGTGAAAAGCAAAGATGGCCTTGAAAGCTGCCATGTCTAGGCGATGCTTGACTGGAGCCATGTGGCTGCGCCGGGGCTGCTTTCCGTGCAAGGCAATTCCTTTCGTACTGTTCCATGTCCTGACAGGCGGAGCGGCTTTTCACAGACTTTAGACAAAAGTTTTGTTTAAGAAGCAGCCACATGTCAATGTTGGAAACTTCCATTTCAGCATACTTCAGCGTTGAAATCTGACCTAGTAAACAAGATGCAGCCCACGAACCCGCATGCTCACACGTATGTTAATGGTACAGATGTCCAAACACATGGATATGCAGTCATGCAGAACACTTTTCTGCAGTAACTTTTTGGAACAGTCTTGTACATATCTCCCCTGTTACCAGTCTGCAGTGTGGAGTGTAAAGTGTAGAGTCTGGAGTGTAAATCGTAGAGTGTGGAGTGTGGAGTGAGGAGTGTAAAGTGTGAAGTGTGGAGTGTAAAATGTAAAGTGTGGAGTGGGGAGTGTAGAGTGTGTAACGTGTAGTGTGTAGAGTGTGGAGTGTGGAGTGTAGAGTGTAGTGTAAAGTGTAGAGTGTGGAGTGTAAAGTGTAGAGTGTGGAGTATGAAGTGGAAAGTGTAGAGTGTGGAGTGTGGAGTGCGGAGTGCAAAGCAAGGAGTGTGGAGTGTAAATAAGTGTGTAGTCTGGAGTGTAAAGTGTGGAGTGTGGAGCGTGGAGTGTGGAGTGAGGAGTGTGGAGTGTAAAGTGTGGAGTGTGGAGTGTGCAGCGGGTAAAGTGTGGAGTGTGGAGTGTAGAGTGTGGAGTGTGGAGTGTAAAGTGTAGAGTGTGGCGTGTGGAGTGTAAAGTGTGGAGTGAGGAGTGAGGAGCGTAGAGTGCAAAGTGTAAAGTGTGCAGTGTAAAAGTGTAGAGTTGGGAGTGAGGAGTGTAAAGTGTGGAGTGTGGGGTGTAAAGTGTGGAGTGCAAAGTGCAAAGTGTGGAGTGAGGAGTGTAAAGTGGAAAGTGTGGAGTGTAAAATGAAAAGTGTGGAGTGTAGAGTGTAAAGTGTAGAGTGTGGAGGGTAAAGTGTGGAGTGTAGAGTGAGGAGTGTACAGTGCAGTGTAAAGTATGGAGTGTAAAGTGTAGAGTGTGGAGTGAGGAGTCTAAAGTGTAAATTGTGCAGTGCGGAGTGCAAAGTGTAGTGTGTGGAGTGGAAAGTGTAGAGTGTGGAGTGTGGAGTGTGGAGTGTAAAGTGAAGACTGTGGAGTGTAAAATGTGGAGTGAGGAGTGTGGAGTGTGTCAAGTGTAGTGTGTGGAGTGTTGGGTGTAGAGTCTAAAGTGTAGAGTGTAAAGTGTGGAGTGTGGAGTGTGGAGTGTAAAGCGTAGAGTGTGGAGTGTAAATTGTGGAGTGCAGAGTGCAAAGTGTGGAATGTAAAGTGTAGAGTGTGGAGTGGAAAGTCTAGAGTGTGGAGTGTGGAGTGTAAAGTGAGGAGTGTGGAGTGCGAGTGTGGAGTGAGGAGTGTGGAGTGTGTGAAGTGTAGAGTGTGGTGGAGTGTGGAGTGTGGAGTGTAGAGTGTGGAGTGTGGAGCGTAGAGTGCGGAGGGTAGAGTGTGGAGTGTAAAGTGTAGAGTGTAAAGTGTGGAGTGCATTGTTGCGCCAGCGACACAAAAGAAATTTCGAAACGGTATAAAGGAGGTTGGAATGTTACAAAGTGCCACACCTGCCACGCAAAACGACATGACAACCTGCTTGGAAACCTTCGAAAAGGAGAGGCTTTGCAATTTCCCCCATAGACACGGCGAGGCCACAGGAAAACCAGAGACCCGAGACGAGACACGCGGGCGCAGAAATGCGATCATTTCGTGCGAGACTTCCTCCAATTTAAGCTTTCGACGCGTTATCAAACTGGTTGGAATGTCACAAAGTGCCACGGCTGCCACGCAAAACGGCATGACAACCTGCTTGGAAACCTTTGAAAAGGAAAGCTTTTGCAGCTTCCCCAATAGACACGGCGAGGCCACCGGAAAACCTGAGACTCCAAGCGAGACACGTGGGCACACTAAAACAAGCATTTCGTGCGAGACTTCCGCCAATTTTCACAGTTGGAAACATGCGAAAAGGAGATGTTTTGCAGCTTCCCCCATAGACACGGCGAAGCCACAGGAAAACCTGAGACTCCAGGCGAGACGCGTGGGAGCACCAAAACAAGCATTTCGTGCGAGACTTCCTCCAATTTTGACACTTAGTAGCATCAAAATCGACGCTCTCCTCCGAGTTTTCTCAGGAACCTGAAATTTTGTTATCTCAAAATCTATGTTTCGTGCGAGGCTTCCGTCAATTGTCAGCACATCTCACAAAATGCCACGCCTGCCACGGAATTTGCACCTTGTCGCCACTTGACGCAGCCCTGCCAATGGGATTTGCAAAAAACACGCAACACGACACGTCTAAAGTGCTGCGCCTGCCACGCAAAATGACGATGGACACGTCCAAAGTGAAAACGTCGCAAAAGTATTGCGCCTGCCACACAAAACGACTTTCGACACGTTACAAAACACGTCTGAATGTTACGAAGTGCCACGCCTGCCACGCGAAACGAAGCAACGAGACGTTTGAAACCTACAAAAAGCTTCCTTCTGCAGAACTTACCATAGGCACGGCCATATAGCAATCGCGCGGGCGGTTGTGAACGTAAACGCGACGTCGAGCGAACACACCCTCAACCCCCAGACCCCCAGAGTGAAACGGGAACCCTTGCTACACATTCGAAAATTAAAGGACCGGATAACCCCACAAGTCAACTTCTCCCTAAAATGAGCTTCAATGGTTTTAGCGGGGACAGGGAAGCAAAGAAAGACAAAGGAGATGGTGAAAGATCGAGAAGGTAAAATGGTAGGTATGTATGTATGTATGTATGTATGTAGGTCGGTAGGTAGGTAGGTAGGTATGTATGTATGTATGTAAGTTGTTTGTGAGTAGGTTGTTTGTGAGTAAGTTGCTCCGCTTTCTACGAGTTCCACCAGGCTGTGTTATCAAAGCGATGGTGTGCTCAGTTGACTTCTGCTGACCAAAGTAATGTTCTGCACTCTTTCGGGCGCAGCCGCAAATGTTTGCAGATTTGAAGTGACTCCATGTTTGCAGATTTGTTTTGCTTGTTTTGGAAGTTTTCAGATTTTAGAGTTTGTTCAGTGTTGGGTTTTGTTTATGTCTGTTTGCTTCTACGTTTTTGCAATTAAAGCTTCCACTAGATGAGCCTTAGTGTGTGTGTGTGTGCGCGCATTACTTCACCATCGACAAGCAACACCTGGCAGCACAGAAAAAGGATCAAGATGACGAAAGCACAAAATAAAATAGTTCTTTGGTAGAGATCCACAGCGCAGCCTGCAGTTGTTGGCATCGACTCATTGTCGGGCCGTGAGACACGCGCCTGTCCTCCGTCCAAGAAGCTCACTGGAAGGGCACCTGCGGCAGTTGCAAAGACACAGAGGCTTCATGCGTGCTATCTTGTTACTACATGACAGCTGCAATGGCTCGGCACAGCATGAACCCGAAGAACCAATCTATTCTACATAGCTTAACCACAGTAGATATCTTATTGATCAACCGTATACATGGTCCACACTACGCCGCAAGTGCAGCTCCCGGCCTGCGCATTACTTCACCATCGACAAGCAACACCTGGCAGCACAGAAAAAGGATCAAGATGACGAAAGCACAAAATAAAATAGTTCTTTGGTAGAGATCCACAGCGCAGCCTGCAGTTGTTGGCATCGACAGCAACAGAGCGCAAAAGTACCTAGCCGCAAAAGGACAGGACGCGTATATGGAGCTAGCTATCAAAGCAACATGCGCAGAAACGATACAATTCAGTCTCTTGCACGAATTGTCTCCTTTTTGTGTGATCAAAATCCTGACAAGACCTGTAGCACTTCGTCCCGCAGTGGGGCCGACTCTAAACGTGTCACGAACAGTCTTGATTTGGCCGTCGCGACCCCAGTCTTCCCACATTAGGTCAACAATTTTCTACACAGCAATCAACGTGAGAGGCATCAAGCAACTTTCGTCTGTCTGCAACACATCATTGTTTGTGGAAGGGGCATGATCCGATGCAAAGTCACAAATTTAAAGAACCAAAACAACTGACGGTCACATTACTGCAATGTCACTGAGCATGGTTCTTTGCAAACCATTGCGCCAAACCAATGTCAAAGCATGCGCCAAGAAAACCGCGCCTGCCCTAAGGTCACAGGCCCGATGACGATACCGGAACGGAAAAGTACCTGGCTGCAAAAGGATAACGATGTTCTGGAGCTGGTGGTCAAAGCGACAATAACAATGTCGTGCCACACACGCTTCTCTCGCCGAAGCGGAAAAGTACCTGGCCGCAAAAAGACAGAACGCGTATATGTCGCTGGTTGTCAAAGCAACACGTGCAGAATAAAAATACCGACTTAGCTACATCCCTTTTCCGACAGTTCTTTCTGCGTCAGGTCAAACAGACCAGCCACGAACGACTTGATTCTGCGTCAAAGCGATCAGATTCTGGGAAGCTTGGTCCACATTGTCTGAGAGAAGACATGTTGGACCAGACAGTAAGATTCCTTTCTCGGAAAGTTAATGCTACGTCGTCCACGGTGTCCTGAAGGCCGCAGCATTCAACACATTCAATTGCAATCACTGGAGTCAGGGCAACTTTCCCGCAAGGACATGAAATAGTAGAGAGCGGTACTAGCGGATGCACAGCCGGAATTCCCTGCCACGGACTTTCGTCAAGCTTCTGCACAATGACCTGTAGTCCCAAAGGTCCTTTCAGATTCAAATGGTAATGCAGCCGCGAGGTAGAGTATTGGGCCGGCGCAGATACCACAGCAGCTCCTTGGATGGAGACCAGATCACCGACCTGGCATTTTTGTGCTAACTTGTCTCCGTTCTCGCCCCAAGCTTCAACGTAGAGCACTTCACTCAAGCTCTGCGTAGCAGCGAGATGCGCTTCCAACTTCCGAAGCGTTCGGGTCTCTGGCGAACTTTTTGCAGCTTTGCCGCCCTTGCCTTTTCTGCCTCCACTGGGCGCTGCCGCCGCTTGGGTTCCTTTTCTCGACTGGATCTCTTGGTGCTTGAGGATCACAATGCGCCCAGCCACGGCAGTGTTCTGGTCGCCGCGGTACTCGGACGGCTTCAAGCACGTCACTACCATGTTCGTGCTTCTGGCCGTACCCATGCGGTCCCAATGTT